TGTTTAGTCAATTCACTGATACATGTAGTAGATATGTATCACATGTTTTGCATAAAGAATGAATTTCTGAAAACGGATATCATGTATCAGTAAGGTATTAGTTGTTTAGTTGATGTACTGATACATGTTTTGAAAATTGTTATAATGTATCATTCACTAAGTTTAGTTGATGTGTCATCAACTGTACTTGATGATACATATAGAATCAGTGTGTATATTGTTTAGTCGATGTTTCTGATACATGTATTCGTTTTTTTTTCAGTTCAAAATATAGTTTAACACTCATATCGTTCTTAAGTTTTATCGGACAGGAGTTACCTTCTACAATGTATCGAATTTCAATTTCTTTCCTTGATACAACAATATCCAACTCGGCTGCAATTGTTGCTTTGAGATTAGAAAACGAAATTGAATCTCCAACAACGATTCTGTCGATTTTGTAACTTTCATACTGCAATTCGTTCACCCAAATTCCAGAATGTCTCATCAAAATTGAAATATTCATCTTGAAAAATCCACTTTAACAACAATAAAATTACTGTAGTTCGAAATTTAACAGATTGTTCAAAAAAATTGTTTTCAAAATAGATGATATAATTTTTGTTTTTCAAAATTTGAAATTAATATCAAATTAAGTGCTGATTAATGATATGTTACCGTAAATTTAGCTGTTTTATTAACAACATTAACTGTACCATTTTTTCCCTTTTTTTTCTCAACAGTTTAAAATTACCATGTATCACTAGAGTCTAAAATATCACGGCTCAACAAATTTACTGGATTTTTTATAAATACTAAATTTGTCGGGACAGAATGTAATTATTGAATTACACTATGAGATTCCTTAAATTTTTACTCACAGTTAAGTGACTTTTAAGTGAAAATTGAAAGTTAAGTGACTTTTTGAGAGAAGAGTGCATAGTTGAGTGACCATATGAGGTATTAACTCTTATTGATTGGTAATATTGATGGATGTTATGTTTTCCTCTCCAAATCAAAGAAAAAAAGAATTAAATACACTTACTTTCTCTTATTTATACATGACATACAATTAGATTAGATGTTAACTAAATTTTTTTCTTTTTTCTATTATCATTTTTCTTGACAGTCTTAAATTTCTTATTTATTGTGTAGCTATATAATCTTGCATTTTCATAATAGTAATGATCCTTTGTTTAGGAATTCAAGAAACTAGGACATAATTTCTACTCCTTTAACAAGTACGTCTATAGTCAGAAAAAATTATGTACATGTGAATGAATATTTAATTTTTAATTTACAAGTCAGGATATTATACTGGTTACAAATTTTATATAGTAAATAAGAGATAAACGTGCGACACACGTTCCCAAAACTACTCTACACACACATATATATTAGTGTTACTGAGCCCGAATTTAATAAGTTGGAACAAGAGTAACACGAAAACTTCAAATATCCTAGTATAAAAATTTGTTACACTAACAATATTCTACTAGTATGTAATTAGATTTTGTCTATAATTAGAGCTAAACAAAATGAGGTTAAACTGAGTTGAAATGAGGCTAAAAGCTCTGTTTTATAGTCAAATCGATCTATATATAACATTGCTTCTCTGAATTTGAAGAATTGTTAGCGCAGATATCATTTAGTGTAATTAGATGGACAAATTAAAGTAATCAATTTGAAAGATTAATGAAGATGAATTAATTAAAAAGAAAATGGATGGTAAATTACTTCTCATTGTCACAATAGATACATTTTGGGAAACGATTAATACATTTCTTCAAGCTAAGCTTCACCATTTCCAGAACACATTTGAACCACACTTGTATTTGTCCTTGCCTTCACACTCCAACGCCAAATCGTCACTTATAAATGGCACTTTCTGAATCATTTCAATTTGTAAAAACACGCAAAATATTAGCATTGTCAATTAATTCATTCAACAACAACAACAAAAAAAAATCACCGAAAATAGTTGAGATTACCTTTTGTTTTGCAAGGTCTTGGCATCCTGTAAAGTTCTCAGGGAACTTGCAGGTTCCAAACTGAACAGTATACGCCCTTGCGAAATTCGCACCACTTGTAGCCAACCTCTTCTTGTCATTCAATTCCTGTAGATTGACTGAATCACGTTAAATGTCTGTGTCTTTTTTATACTTTCTCTGTTTCATTGAAGAATGATCTAGTTTGAAATGAAGAAAGATGACTTTTGATCACATGGTTCTAAATTAAAAGTTATGTCAAATGTACAAAATTGTTCTTTCATCTTGTCACCATAAATATATCACGTGGAAAGTTGTTAGAGGTTCATTCTTTTTTTAAACAGACTAAAAAGGAAAGAAAGTCATTCTATTTGAAACGAATGGAATATATATACCTTGTTGGCTTGGCTTTTCTCAAGATATTCGTCGATAACACCAGCATTAGCAGAAGAGGCAGATGTGAAAAGTGCAGCAGCAAGGCCAAGCAGAGCAACTCTTCTTCCAGCAGATATGTTGGAACTGGATTGTTGTTGAGCCTTAATGATGAGTGGCAATTTTTGAAGTGAAGGGGAAGACATAGTAGTAACAGTATGTTTTGATGTGAGTTCAGATGAACTCATGCCTGATATAGCATAGCTGCAAGCCAATACACTTGAGTTCATTGCTGCCATTTCTTCTTTTCCTAATACTATCTTGGATTTCAATCAAACCTTTTTTAATTAGATAAAAGTTTTTATTTTTTTATTTTTAGGTGATGGATTTTGTTATATTGTTATAAGGATAGTGAGTGTAATTTAAGGTTGTGGTAGGAGTTTAGATAAGGTGAGATTGCCTTACTCCCTATTGGCTAATTTTGTTTTCTTGTTTTAGCATACATCTATATGTGTGGTGAACATGAGCCTTTTAAGAGTGGGCCCAATATCCAAATATGTGCTTGGTTGGGATTAATATTCTTCTGGCTGCTGAATCAATAGGTAATAGTAAATCGAGAAGAGTATTAAAGTATTTATCGGTATTAATTAATTGATATTGGATCTAATGTCGCTATTGATTTTAGGGACATTTATAGAGAGTGTTGATAGTCTCTAAAAAATCATATTTAGCGGCGATTAAGTTATGAAAAACAACAAAAATTAGGCTTTGAATAGGACTCATTATATATTGTTTCATTAATTATTTACAATTTGCAGGTACACTTTGGTTTACTACGCATTTGTATTCGTTGTATTTTTTTCAGCAGATTTTGGAGAGAAAAAAATACAAATACTAATATATGTGTATCAAATTGAATCCATATTAGGAGGTGAGAAGAGAGCGAGTCGAGAGGAGGAGGCAAGCGAAATCGAGCGAGGGAGGAGAGATGATGAATTCATGTTGTATAACAAATACGATTGATACAGAATACAAATTTAGTTTTTCGAACATAATGAATATAAAATACAAATTTCTCACTTTTATTTGATTAAACAATTGATACATTATGCATTCATTGAGAAGATGAATGCATATTATATTTGTATGAATACAAATACAATTAGTACAGAAATACAAATATAGTTATTCGAATATAATTGATTTAAATTATAAAACTCTAACCTATATTTGATTGAATACAATTGATATATGATAAAGTTGAATAAAATTTCTTCTTGACGGGAGAGTGAGGGAGAGAGTTTGCTATAAAACCAACATATAGTGGTTTATTGTATTTTTAAAAAAATTATGGTTGTGTTCCATAAATATGTCGATATTGTTATCTTGTTATGTAATTTTTTCTGTTAGCGTTGTTAATTAATTTCTTAAAGATGATATTTAGTGTAATATTATAGTATTTCTATGCCATAATTATCAGTTTTATTTTAAAAATTTAAAGCTTATGATCTTAATCATGTCATGACAGTAGGCATAGCCATAAAAAAAAACTCGTTATACAAGTATAGTTTCTAGGGCATGTACTTATCATTTTTTGTTCAAAAGAGTACTACAAGGAAATAGTGTGACACAGAAGAAATATTATTCTTCATCTTGTCTGTAAATAAATACTCAATTAATTTCAAACATCTACAATTTGATGTTTGACATAGTCTTACTAATTTGAAAACAAATTAATGGAAGATATTAAAAGAAGGAAATTAAATGGCAGAGGAGGAAATTAAGGAATAAGGAGGGTCTCCTCTCATTGCGTGTCTACTTTTTCAACTTATATATCACAATCATACTAATCACATTACGAAACTTCTCGATCCCCAATTAATTCGATTCATTTCATATTTCTTTCTTTCAATCTAAGGTACGTAAGGCATCAATCATTTGAGTTAGTTTTCACTTCTACTACATTAAAGTTCATACTCCATATACTACATTTGACGTTTGATTAGTTTCACATCTATTTTTAATACAGTAGACAGTAGTAAAAGATGAGCGATGAAAGAAGTGCCCCTCATTTGAATGAGAGGATCCTTTCATCTTTATCTAGACGATCCGTTGCTGCCCATCCTTGGCATGACCTCGAGATAGGTACGTACTGTACCTATCCACGATTTCATTTTCCGTTCTTCAGACTAGCTATTCGATCTCATTCTGTTTCTTGAATAATCGATTTTGTAGGACCTGAAGCTCCCAACGTTTTCAATGCTGTAAGTACACTAAATTAAATTACCCTCTCTGGTTTATAACTGCATATGATATGATCCGATGACATATATGTACATACATTGCATCAATCGTTAACAGGTAATTGAGATAACAAAAGGAAGCAAAGTTAAGTACGAACTTGACAAGAAAACTGGTCTGATTAAGGTATATATCACTTATCGTGTGCTAGCTCTAACACAATATGATCAGTGTATTATATAACTGATATATTTGACTTGCAGGTTGATCGAGTTCTATATTCATCAGTTGTTTACCCTCAGAATTATGGATTCATTCCTCGAACATTATGTGAAGATAATGACCCTATGGATGTATTAGTCCTAATGCAGGTTCGATTTTTTTCTTCACAAAACAGGGCAAACAGAAATTATACAGAACGAAAATATTTACTTTTGTCGAACAGGAACCTGTCCTTCCAGGTTGTTTTCTTCGAGCTAGAGCCATTGGATTGATGCCTATGATCGATCAGGTTATGTTTCTGATTATATTTATGTACTTAGAACTAATGTGAATCGCATTTGAGAGACTAATAGAACTTTTCTTATATTCAGGGAGAGAAGGATGATAAAATTATAGCAGTGTGTGCTGATGATCCAGAATATCGCCATTACACTAACATAAATCAGCTTCCTCCTCATCGTTTAGCTGAAATTCGTCGATTCTTTGAAGAATGTATGTTGTTTGAATTAACTATTTTATATCTGCAAATGTGTAATACATATTTTACTAGTGACAATTAATTTTGTTTTAGATAAGAAGAATGAGAACAAAGAGGTTGCTGTTGATGAGTTTCTGCAACCAAATACTGCTGCTGAGGCCATCCAGTATTCTATGTAAGAATGCAACAATTTCTGTGTTATTTAACTGTGACAAAGTCACTTAAAATTTGAGCGATTTTCTGAAAAAAGAACCGCGTATTATAGGTTCAAAAGAGGTTTACATTTGTACTATTGTTGGGCAGGGACCTTTATGCTGAATACATATTACACACACTGAGGAAGTAAATTCAAGTTTATGGGATACAAATCATTTAAATAATTTTGTTTTACTACCACAAAGTTGTGTGCTAAGAGGGATATATATCATCTCCTGACTAATTGATTTTTTTTTACTTATTTTTTTTAAAAAAAACAAATGTTTGTATTCTTATATGTATCTCAAATTGTTTGAGTTAAAATACTCCTTAGTTAGTCACCCTTTTAAAATAAAAATAAGGAAAACTTACTTCGATATGTTATATTAAGAAAATATTTATCCTTTTTTTGTCGTTGGACTCTTATAAGATACATAAAACAATTTATGAAACGGATATAATGCAAGTTTTATTCATGGTTAATACATATATCACGTACACCTAAAATAAATTGTGTCAATTTTTTATCAAACAAGAATAATGCATTTTACAACACTTCTAATACATTTATATTTCATGCATAATTTACTTTTAATACATAGCAAATTTATCATAGTACTACTATAAATAAAAAAATATCGCTAAAATAAATAATTATTTATTAAAAGTACTCATCCAAGCAATTTTCTTCTTAAAATAAATTGCAAAGTTCAACATTTGGAAGGGTGGTTAAACAAGATAACTGTAGATCAACAATGGACCAACCGATCAGATGAGCCCAATAAGAAAGAATGGAAAAATTATCAAACTAGTCACAATTCCTAACTTAATTATTAAAAATATTTACACTTTAAATTAATTATTGAAAATGTCAAAATGTCAATATTTTAGAAAATAATTTATATTCAAATTTTATTCTCAAAACAGTTCAACTTTGAATCAAATTCTACCTTCTTTACCCATTACACTTTTTCGCTTTATTATCATTAAATTTATTTTTCATCTTTCAATTTTCAATTTTTTTTCTCTTTCATCAACTTTTCAGTTTTCACCATCCCCATCATTCACTTTTTTTTTTCTTTCATCAAAATTTCACCATTATTCTCTTCATTGCTGAAGAAGAACTAATTATTCAAGTTCGTAACAATTTGTTTAGATCTTTCAATTAATTAAGAAATCTCTCAATTGATGAAAGTATTTTTGAACTCATCATTTATTTTGCGAGATTTTGTTTTCAAAATCACACATTATGTTGAATTTTTCCATTGTATGTATTGAGAATTTTCCGTCATTTTTAAAAAAATTTATGTGAATTTGTTAACTTACTCATCAAATATTCATGTATTTTAGATTTTTAGTATTTAAAATTTTTTTTGTCAATCTTTCTTTTTGATTTGTTTTTATATTTCAAAGTGATAATCTAAATACAAACCTGTATTTTGATTATTTAAAATTGTGAATGAATACAAAATCAAAAATAAACTAGTTGGTATAAACATATAATGAGCAAAACATAAAATATTTGACTGATGCAATTATGATGAATACACATATAATGAATACATAAATAAACTGTATTTTGGCTATTTATAGTTGAGAATGAATACGAAATCAAAATATAAATACAAAACTTTATGATATACATTAGGACGAATACGAAATCAAATCTAAATACAAATTTTATGGTATACATTAGGACGAATACGAAATCAAATCTAAACACAAACTATTTGGTATACAATGTGATGTTGAAAATAAACAAAATAAAATACATATGTAAGATAGATGAATACCTATATCATGAATACATGAGTATTGTATTCTGAATTTGGAAAATTTTTTAAAAGGAGATACATAAATTTCATAACCTTAACATGATAGCCAAATAACTTCATAAAATTTCAGACATTTTTAAAGATAAATAATAATTTTATAGCGTCAAAATATGCCTTAGTAGAATAAAATGCTTAAAAAAATTTAAGAAAATTGAATATTAAATTTTTAGAACAATGGTGATAGGCGTGTTTTTTAGAATATGGTGAAAGAAGAAGAAAGATATGGAAGTTGGTGTATTTTGATAAATTGTCAATTGATTCTTTGTTTTTGAATCAGATAAGACTTTTAAATAATTGTTTCTTTTTAATATTTTTCTCTCCATTTAATTTCTCCTTTCTGTTTTAAATAATTGTTTCTTTTTTGACATTTTTACTAAATATAAAAAGTATTGACAATGAATCCTATTAAATGTCAAAATATTGACATTTTGAAAATTTTTCCAAAAAGAATTCATTAGTTGGGCCCAATACAAGGCCCATTTTGCACAAGGAGGGACAAAACTAATACTAGTAGATTTACGTTTGGGCGATCACAAATAACATACCATTAGCCCTAGGAGTATCAAATGGGCGGGTTGGATTGAAAGTGCAAATATTATAATGGGTTGAATAAAATCGGGTTGGATCTTGACCCGCCCAAATTTACTTTGGGCTCAAATGGGCTAAAAAACTAGTTGGGTCTTGACCCGCTCAATTTGACCCGATAAATCTAAATGATTTAACATATTGATAATTAACTTTTATAATCACAATTTGAATTTTCGCTCAAGAATTTTTTGTTAAAAAAGAAACAAATGAATAGATAAATCCTAAAAGATGTTAAATTAATAATAATTCATATCTTCAATATAGGAATATATCTTAATAAAAAAATTTAAAACAGGTTGAAATTGGAGATTGAGTTGGGCTCAATTGAGAATTCTTTTCAAATGGATTATGTTTGAATGAGTTGAGATTGAACCCAATTCAAATTATCTTGAGCCCAACCCTTAAAATTCTGGGCGGATTGGACATGTTACATATGTTTGGTTCATTTTTGACACCCCTACTTAGGCCTCATTTGCATTTAATGAGTTATGAATCTTATTCATTCAGATTCAACCCATTAAGTGTATTTAATTTTTAGGTTTCATTCCATCAAGTTCATTTGTTTATTTTTTTAAAAAAAAATCTCTTAATGGGTCTTAAGGAGTCTGAATGAATCAAATCTATTGTACCGATGAAAATGAAATGGTGTTCTCTTGTTTGACATATATCTCTTAGTTGTAAATTTACTTAGTTACCACTTTGTCTTCCTCTTTTAACATTCCCTGAATTTTCCTTTTCTATTGTTCCATTGATTAATGTTCATCAGTATTATTGTTTCATTGGATCTGCATTATTTGGTATTAGAACATAGTCTTGAGTTTTGTGAGTGTTATCATGGATACTGATATCACTGAGATCAAATCAATATTAGAGAGGATAACCTTGGAGACAACTAATGTCTCCATGAGGCAAACTCAAATGGAGGATCATCATGAAAAAACTGTGGCAATCTTAAAGAAAACTCTAGAGGCAGCAAAAATGACAAATATAGGTGGTGAAGATATCTATACTCCATCTGGAACCTCTAACTAGGATGAATCAGAACTATTGAATGCAACAAATCACCAGGAATAAATCTTTTGGGGTGGGGAGGAAGACCAAATGTTAGAAATGCAGGAGGATCATGATAACTATGAAGAGGATGAAGGACATGAATAGAATTGTGAAAATATATGTACATGGTCTTAATGGAATCCATAGGTTCAATACATTTTAGGGTTCGTTTGGTACAGTGTATAAAAACAATGTTAAATATAGTGTATTAGCAATACTTGCATTAGTAATGTTTGTATTAGTTGTTATGCTCGCATTAGTTGTACATACATTATTTTTCATGCATTGTTTGGTTTGGTGTATTAAAAATAACATGTATTTACAAAAATATTTATTTACAGAAATCCTTAACAATTATGGTGAAAAAGATATAAAAGTGCTTTTGGGGGGTATTTGTGTCTTTAAAGTGATAAAGCATGCATTAAATCCCTTTGCATTACTAATACGTAAAAAATCCATGGTATTACACAATAGAATAAGCATCAGTTATGCATAACATGAAAAAAGGTACCAAACAAGATACTACTAATACACAGAGCTAATGCAAGCATTATTTTTGTTAATACAGTCTACAAAACGATCCATTAGAATCATGGCTACACTAAGGATGTTCCTCTAAACATAATTTTTTTTATGATCAAACCATAGTTTGTGAATGCAGCTGATGATGGCTATAAACAGACTAATGAGGTTTATAGAAACTTTCTTTATATATTCTACTAATGAAAATGAAATGGTATTATCATATATCTCTACTTGTAAATTAGCTTACTTACTACTTTGTCTTTCTCATTCTCTTTCTTTTTTTATACTCTTCCATTCATTATACTTCATCACTATTACTATTTCATTGGATCTGCATTACTTTTGACTCATGCTGCTTTAGACCAGACCCTCCCCGCCCCATTACTGATTTTTCCTCCACGGCTATGAAGGGCTAAAAGATCTACTACTTTAATTCCTGTTTCAAAAATAGATAATTTTATATCTAACTATATAAAGACGGGCGCAGATCTATGAATAGGAGACGATGTACCCCTAACGGCAACTAGCTTCGTTCTCCAACCATTTTTAACGTGCATTGTTATTTAGTTATGTTTGTATTAATTAGAGTTGGTATTGATTTGAATAAGTACCATAAGCGCTCTTACTTGAATTAAATTTAAGAGAATATTTAAGCCAAACCACTTCTATTGGAATAATCCAATAATTACATTAACCCATTGTGATGTGATTTTTAGGTAACGTGTGCATTTAATACAACTAATTAGTCAACTCAATAATGACTTTGTTCAAAGAATTAGCAATTATATATATATATATAAAAAAATGTCTTTCTAAGGATGAAAGAAAGAATATTCATAATATTGATATTAGTTAAATGTTATTGAATTTAATATGATTATAAATTTTACGGACATTTACAAAGAATGTTAATTATCGCTATAAATATGTATTTAATTTCAATTAAACTATTACCGTGAAAATGAATTGCTATAACAATTCCTAAAGTCTTTTAATATAATGTTGCACCTCTTATGTACATGGACCACCTCTATATATATATATATAAGAAATACTATAGGCTACGTACCACCTACCTTAGCTTGCCCAATTTTTCAGAAACTTAATAATTAAAATAATGGAGGACATAAAAGCATGAAACTAATAATTACATTATATGCATATAGAGCTTAATATGTTAATTAATTAATTTCCCTTAGTTAACCAAGCCTGCATAGGTAGGATAATATAATTAAAAGTTCCTTTTCACCCTAGGCACTATTTTGTCTAGTAGCATTATTTCACAATCTAC